TAAACCCCACCCTTGCTGCAGCGACACACAACTGGGAGGGAATTCACACTTCAGAATCTCCCAGAGGAGTGAAGGGTTTGGATGCTACATTCTGTGGCCAAATTTTTAAGACTTCCACCTGAGAGATAGGTCCCCAAAATGTCTAGCTTTAAAAGAATGGGGCTTGCATCCACAAGGCCCACAAGGCTATGGCGAATTAAGAGACAGTTATCAAAGGGCTTGTGCAGACTGCTTCTGATAACACCCCAGGGCCCAGCAGAAGCAGTAGAATGAAATCAGTTCCCCCCTCCCCAGAAAGAGGCCTATTTGTTTATCTTAATAACTGTGGCCTACAGAGCAAGCATCAATTTAACCTACACATGAAGTGAACATCAGTAGAAGGAAGGAAATAAAGATGAGAGCAGAAATAAATGAAACGGAAACTGAGAGGTGGGGAAACTCTTCCAAATTTATTTTAAGAGACCAGAATTACCCTGATATCAAAACCACACAAGGATGCCGTAAGAGAAGAAAACCATAGGCCAATATTCCTAGTGAACACAGATGCAAAAATCTCAAAAAAATATAGGCAAACTGAATTCAACAATACATTAAAACATTCATACAACATGATCAACTGAAACTTACTCCCGGGGTGCAAGGATGGTTCAACATCTGCAAATCAGTCAATGTGATACACCACTTCAAAATAAAAGGTAAATATCATATGATCATCTCAATAGATGTAGAAACATGATTTGACAAAATTCAAAATCCACTTATGATAAAAACTCTCAACAAAACAAATATAGACGTATTGTACCTTAACATTACTACAGACCATATATGACAAGCCCACAGTTAACATCATACTGATGGTGAAAAGTTTTCCTCTAAGATCAGCAATAAGACAAGGATATGCACTCTTTTATTTAACAGAGTATTGGAAGTCCTAGCCAGAGCACTTAGCAAATAAAAGGCATCCAAATTGGAAAAGAAGTAAACTGTCACTATTTGTATGATGTAAGACAGAAAACCCTATAGACTCCAGACATAAACTCACATATGCATGATCAATTAATTTATGACAAATGAGCCAAAAATATACAATGGGGAAAGGATAGTCTCTTCAGTAAGTGGTGGTAGAAAAAGTGGAGAGCTACATGCAAAAGATAAAACTAGACTATTATTTTACACCATACACAAAAATCAGTTCAAAATGGATAAAGATTTGAAAGTAAGATGTGAAACTGTAAAACTCCTAGGAGAAAACATAGGCAATAAACTTTTTTTTTTTTTAATCCTTACCCGAGGATATTTTTCCATTTTTTGTTCAGACAGAGTGGGAGGGAGAGAGAGGAGGAGAGAGAGAAACATCGATGTGAAAGGGACACATCGAGTGGCTGCCTCCTGCATGACCCAACCAGGGCCGGGGACAAACTGCAACCGAGGTTCGTGCCCGAACCGAACCCGGGCCTCTCTGGACCGCAGGCTGATGCTCTAACTGCTGAGCCAAACCGACAAATGTCTTGACAAATGTCCTGCATAATTTTTTGGGTTTGACATTAGAAACAAAAGCAGCATAAGTGAAAATAAACAAGTGGGTCTATATCAAAGTACAAAACTCTTGCACAGCAAAGGAAACCATCAATAAAAACGAAAAGATAACCTATGGAATGGGAGAAAAATACTTGCAAATTATGTTAGCTCATAAGGGGGTTAATATCCAAAACTATAAAAAACTCATGCAAGTTAATAGCCAAAAACCCAAAACAATCAGATTAAAAAATGAACAGAAGATTTGAATAGACATTTTTCCAAAGACATAAATAATCATGATAAATAGGTCCATGAGAAAAATGCAAATCAAAGCCACAATGAGTTATCACCTCACATTTGTTAGAATGTCTATCATCAAAAAGACAAGAGATAAGTGTTGGTGAGGACAAAGAGAAAAGGGAACCATTGTGCACTGTTGGTGGGAATGTAAGGCGGATCCTCAAAAAATTAAAAATACCATATAATCCAGCAATTCTACTTCTGGGTGTTATCTAAAGAAAACAAAATCACTACTTTGAAAAGATATCTGAACCCATATATTCATTATTTATAATATATGGAAACTACCTAAGTGTCATTGACAGATGAATAAAGAAAAAGTGGTGTGTATACATATATGTGGATATACAAAATATTATTCAGGCATAGAAAAGGAAATCCTGCCATATGTGACAATATGGATGGATTTCGAGGGCATTATGCTAAATGAAATAAGCAAGGGAGGACAAACTGTATCTCACTTATAAGTAGCATCTAAAAACAAACAAATTCAGATACAGAGAATAGATTGGTGGTTGCCAGAGGTGGTGGTCGCGGGAGGGTGTGGTGGCAGCTCCATGTATAAAATAGGTGGAGGTAGTTAAGAGGTACAAACTTCCAGTTAAAAGATAAATAAATCCTGGGGATGTAATGTACAGCTTGGTAACTATGGTTAACAATATTATATTCTTGAAAATTGCTAAGAGAGTGACTTAAAAGTTCTCATCCAAAGGAAAAAAAATCGTTAACTATGTGTGGTGATGTGTGTCAATCAACTTATTGTGACATATACATATATCAAATCATTATGATTTACATCAAAACTAAAGTGTTATATGTTAATTGTACCTCAATTAAAAAAAGATCACCCTCTAAAATCTAAAAATGATGATGACTAAATGGGTATTTTCAAAGATAAAGGTATAGTATAGCTTCAGGAAGAAGGGACTGTGAGCAGCTTATTTTGTAAGCTTCTTGACTTGTGGTAATGATGATTTTGGAAAATGATAAAATTAAGTTTAAAAGTAAGACTCTGTCAGTCTTCTTCAGTACAAATGAGGTATGTAAGTCCAGGCCACCAGACCAATCACTTATACAGAAACATCTCTGACACAAAACAACAAATTAGGCTTTGTAAGTATAAATGCAAATCTTTTGTAAAAAAGTAGATTTTTCCCTTATGCAAAAAGAGAAAGAGAGCCTCACCCTTCCACTCCCTTTTCTTACAGTATTTCCTTGGGCAAATCTGTCATTCCTTTATCTGTCTCTTTGACATAAATATACTTATTTTTTAAAGCTAAGTAAGCCTCTTGCCACTTTACAACCCAATAAAGTCTTTCTTAGGGGCTTTGGAATTATTTGTTTAAAACAGTTCTCAACCTGTGGGTCGCGACCCCTTTGGGTGTCGAAAGATCCTCTCACAGGGGTCGCCTAAGACCATGGGAAAACACCTATTTCCGATGGTCTAAGGAACTGAGACACGGCTCCTCTATCCATCTCCAGGAGGGTCCGCTCACATGCAGATACGATCACATACAACACGAGGAACTATATTAAAGGGTCACGGCATTAGGAAGGTTGAGAACCACTGGTTTAAAACATAAACATAAAAACAAGTAAAAATAAAATGTAATCATCAAGGAACATCAGATGGAGCTGATATCGTTTCTGATGTTAGGTTTGGCATCTGGCTCCATGTTGTAAACACCTGCTTATCATAAAGGTACTGAGAAGTCTTATTTTCCCTCTGGATAAAGGCTAATACAAATAGCCACCCCAACTACCAATGCAGTTAGGATGACCTATAGGGAGGTGGGCTTCCCTGCACTTCTCTGTAGCAAATGCTGCTGTCAAGTCCTGTCTTGACAGGACAAGCTGTTTATCTTGAGAACATGTATGTAATATAAAATAGGTTACATCTGCCTGGATACATAAAGGGGCAAAAACTCTTTGTCTTTGCAATCCTGTCGCAGACTGCCTGTGATAGGTGTAGAAATCTGGTCAAGTGCTTATTCTGTGCTGGCCTGCTTGTCTCACCACGCCCTGATTAAATAATACAAAAGGCCGACTGTGGAGTTTTCAGAGACAAACTGAGGAAGTGCCAGCTGGCCTGGCTGTCCTCTAAGCGAATTTCTTGTTTTTTAGAACTTAGAAGATGGAGTGAATAGCAGGACAACCCTGACCATAGATGTGTGCTGAGCAGTTCCCTGCCGCCTCAGCTTCCTCCCACTTATCGACAACTGCCTCCGCTTCTGTACTTGCTTGCTTGCTCTCCCCCAAGGCCATCAAGAAATGCCAGATGCAGACATTTGTAACAAGCCCCCTATAAAATAAAAACGTAGCTAAAAGTCGGGGCTGATCTCCAAATCTCCTCTAGAGAACTTGGGATCAGTCGCCGGCCAGCTTTGTCCTCTATTTGTCTTTAATTTGGCTCTGGTGGTCTCTCGGTTCTCTCCCACCACAATTCTATAATAAAGCTATTTAGTTCTTTTCTCCATTTGTAGAGAGGAACGTCTTGGTTGGCAGGTGATTTTAATTATTTCCCTAACAGCTTCCATTATCTGAAATAGCCCTCAGAACATTCAGGAAATTGTTAGAATTCTGAATGCACCTACCAACTTCCGGGCAGAAACCTAATGCTGTACTTGTTGGCCAGGAGGGTTTCCCCCACGCAGACAACTATTCCATTTTGAAACAGCTGTAAGGACATCTATCTCCACCATCCCCCTGCAACTCCGCAAGCACCTGGACTGCGGTGACTTCCAGGTACCTCCCCCTCGGAGAGGCTGGGCTGTGTCCCTTCCAGGGTGACTGCTCCAGGCCCTCACAACCCCCGGTCCAGTCAGGGAATCCCCTTGGTAACCCAAAGGCCGGAAGCAAGATTTTACTTGAAAAGCAATCAACATGCTTTAGAGAAATCGAATCCTCAGCTGTGGCGCCGGGCTCAGGCGGAAAGTTTGGACACTTTTTCATCCCAGCACTTGGAACAAAGAGGTGGAGGCAGGGAAGCGGTCCAGACCCCGAACCCAATCAAGTGGACGATCCGCCCTCTGCACTCGGGCTTCCCTCCCTCCTCGGGCTCGGCTCCTGTTTTCACTCCGAGCACAGGAAAGCCCTGAGCGCCAGCGGCCTCTTCAACACCCATCCTTGGGATAGGCCCGGCCCCCGGCCCCGCACACCTGCCGGGTCCCCCGGGACCTCACCTGCGGACCGCGAGGGACGCAGCCGAAGGCCCCGGCCGCCTCGCCGCTGGCCCCGCGTCAGCCGGTAAATACAGTAGCAGGCGCCGGCCCCCAGGACCAGGCCCGCCGCCACCCAACCCGCGCCCCGGGGGCCGCCCATGCTGCCGCTCGGGCCGGGGCGCCGCGCAGAGCCTGACGCGGGGTGCTCTTGGGCGCAGGGGCCTGCGAAGCCAGCCGGTCCCGCAGTCACCCGACCTGGAGCTCCACCGCGGCAGGAGAAAGGAAATCCGAGTCTGAGCTCCGCCTCTCGGAAACAGCCCGGCGAAAACAGTGAGACAGCCCACTCCGGCCCCGACACATCCCGGCGGCTCCCCCAAGATGGGGCGAGGGGCGGGCTGAGGAGAGCCGGACTCCGTGAAGAACTGCCACCCTGCACCCCGAAGGGGACGCCAGGGGACGCCAGGGGGCTGCCACGCCCAGAGCTGGGCTTCCCAGGTCTTCCTCCCAGGCCAAGGCAAACCGCCCGAGGCCCGCCTCCCTCGCCGCTGACACCCGCGCTGGGGCGCCGGGCTTCGGGGCCCCGCCTTTCCGGCCCCGCGGTTGCCGGGGCAACGTCGGGACGCTCTAGGTCCCGGCTTCCGCCGCGCCAGGCGTGGAGGAGGCGGGGAGCGCAGTTGCTGTGGGGCCTCTTGCCATGGCCTCGCTACGCAACGCCAGCCCCAGGCTGAGAAATTACTTTAAGGAGAACTACATTCCTCAGGTCTGCGAGGTACTGGAGCCACCAGGCTGTGGAGTGAGAAGGGGGAGGAGTCGGAAGGGATTTCCCAGAGGTGGGGCCAAGGTTTGGCGGAGAGAGGGAGTGGAGGGAGGGAGAAAAGGTGTGGGAGAGGGTGAAGTCAGCTTTGGACAGGTCGGCGGTGTGGGCTGAAGATAGAGATCCGAGAGAAGACAAAGGGATGATAAAGTGGGTAACATCTCCCAGGGAGAAAGAGCACAGGGCCCCAGGACAGAAACCCCAAACTCCAACTTCGAAGATTCGAACAAGAGGAGCCTGAGGACAAGATCAGGAGTGACAAAGAGTGTCCTAGAGAGAGGATCACGAGAGTGTGGCTTTATGAAGAGTCACCTAAAATAAAAGACCTGTAGGGGTGTGCTGGATTTGGCTTGGGGTTTCAATGGAGTGACAAGAGCAGAAGATAGATCGAAGTTAAGCTAAGGAGAAAAGGGAAGCAGAGACCCTGAAAGGGAAGGTAGATAGCCCTTTGTGAAGGGAAGGACCTCACACCCAGGATTTCCTTAAACTGGAGGAAGGACTGCCCTCACCCCAACCATCGTAACAGGAGGGAAGGAGGACAGGATAGGGGTGGGCAGGTTTTGTAGGTTTTGGGTAGGAAGCCAAGAAAGTTCTTCATTGGTGACTTCTATTTTTCCTACAAATATTTGGTGAGATATTTGCTAAGAATATGTATGTTTGGGTAGGGATGGCAGGAGCAGAGGTAAATTATGGAGAGAATGCGGCAGAGAGAAGTCTAGGGAAGGAAAGAGGAGAGGCGGGCAGTGTTGAGAGCCCAGCTGGTGTAGTAACTCTCCTATGCAGTTAGAAGGGCAATTTGGTACAGTCCTCCTCCTTTTGGGATGGTAATTCAGAAGTATTTATTAAAATGTCAAACACATCTGCCCTTTGACCAAGCATTTCACTTCTAGGTATCGACTTTGGAGATATACCTGCATATGTAATTAGGAAGATGTACAAGGATATCCATCATAACATTTTTACATATTGAAAATACTAAATAACCTAAATGTGAATACAGAAATAGGGTAGTATGTAGAATTAAGTATATCTATACCTTTTGAGAAGAAAAGCTCTCCAGGACACATTAAAATTAAAAAAAAAGAAAATACAAGTTGCCCAACAAAGTGTCTACTAAAATCTAGCTACCTATCTGACTTCATATATGTATGTATAGGTGTGTATGTGTGGTTATAAGTATATCTGTATTTAAGACAGTAATATATGTATAGGACTTACGCCAAACTACAGCAAATGTTTTGGGGGATGGTTTTATTTTATTTTTTTGGTATGTGCCCCTAGCGGGAACTGAACCTGCGACTCTCTGGTCTGCAGGCCGATGCCCCAATCGCTGAGCCAAACTGGCCAGAGCTGGGGGATGGTTTTAGAGGAGAACTCTAATTTTTTACTCTGTATACATATGTATTGTTTTAGTTTTTTGTGATGCATTTCATTTCCGTTTTACCTTTACATAATTATGTTTGAAAATATGTAGAGAGCATGGTACTTATCTTCCCAATTGTGTGATTTTCTCAAGTAAACTCAGTAAACCACATGTAGGTACAGAAATACAAGTTGAGTTCATCCAGGATAGGAGTTTGCCAGACATATAGAATGGAAGGGCAATGATGAGGGGAGGCGCTATGCTTTTGAGAGTGCCCGAAGTGATGGGCCAAGGACTCTCAAAGACTGAGAACAAGACATGATATGTGGGTAGAAAGTGAGGTTCCTAAGGGATGAGTAAAGAGGGCTAGAGGTAGTAATGGAGTGAGGGAGCTGGAAAAGTAGGAGGTTGGGGGTCAGAAAGAATATTTGTATTTAAGATTCAGGCTAGAGCCATTATGAATGATGACAGTCCAGGTTGGCCATGGAGCAAGTAGCAGAAGTGGACTTGAGTGAAGGTCAGGGAACATCAGGGAAGTGATCGCCTTTCACCTTGCTCTCCACTTGTGTAATACCACAGAGCTGCAAGAGGCATCCCTGGTTTTTCCTTAGTGGGAGCACATCCTCACCAGCTCCTCATTGTTTAAGATGAATATTCTCTTGAGGAGTCCTTCATTCACCTCTGCTACCACATTACCAGCCAGTGCAAAAGAACAGTCTTCTGGGACCCCACACACCTACTTTAACCTGGTTACCTGCTTCCCCTAAGAGACTACCGGGATGAATCCCATTGTGCCTCATATCCCTCTACATTTGTCCAATTGACCGCATTTGCCAGGCCTTGCACTCTTCTAAAACCCATCTTCTGCGAGCTTTGGAATACCTAATCTTTTATCACATATTTCCCTGTTTAACCTCTTATAAATTTCATCTCTCTGTCTTAAATAAAACCTGGTGTCTACTAAGAATATCATTTCCCTGTAAACATCTTGAATATAAAGGCTGATTAAAAAAAAAAAAAAATCCTGCTTGATTCGCTGGGCTTACTGAATCTGTTGATTAATATTTGTTATCAGTTTTAAAAACTTCTTGGTCTTTTCAACAATTTCTTTTACCCATTTTCTCTCTTCTTCAGGGACACCAATAAAAAATGTTAGCGTTTTATTTTTAAACATTTTTTAAATTTGTCCTACATGCCCCTTTTCTGTTTTTCTCCCATTCCTTTTTTTTTACCTCTGCTCTCAAGTTTGGATATTTTTTACTGATTGTTTTCAAGCTTACTGAATCTCTTTTATCCTGTGTCCAGTCTACTGTTAAGTACATCAAATGAGTTCTTAATTTCAGACAGTATGTTTTTCAGTTCTAGAATGTCCATTTGATTCTTTTGTATACATTCTCTTGAAAAGTCTTCATTTTTTTCATCCATTTTGTCTATCATTTTATGTTTTTAACATGTTATTTTTACTCTTTTAAAATTGTTGTTAACATAATTTTGAATTAAATTCTTTATTAGAATTTAATTTTTGGAATAGAATAAATGTTCTTTATTTAAATTACTGGTGTGGCCCTAGCTGGGATGGCACAGTGGTTAGAGTATCAGCCTGCATGCACAGGAGGGTCACGGGTTCGATTTCTGGTCAAGGTCAGGGTGGATGCAGGAGACAACCAATCAATTTGTCTTTCTCACATTGATGTTTCTCTCTCTCTCTCCCTCTCCCCACCTCTCTCCCTTCCTTCCACTCTTTCTAAAAATCAGTGGAAAAAATATCCTCAGGTGAGGATTAACAAAATAAAAAATAAAAATAAAAATAAATTACTGGTGTGATTTCTGTCTCCTGACTGGACCTTGACTGATACAGAAGGCTTAGCTGGAAAGGGAAACAAGGGAACTTTCTGGCGAATCGGAAAATGACTGAGGTGTAGATGTCAAAATTATACAGCTAAGATTTGTGTATTTGATTTGTGTATTTGATTTGTGTAAACTTTACCTAAAAAATATAATTGAGAATAGGTAGGAAACTGGTTGGATATGGAATGGTGATAATTATTGAAACTGGATGATGGGTATATAGGGGTTTGTTGTTGAAGTTTTCTATGATAAAAAGTTAAAATAAATGAATCATGTGTAGGTGTTTTTTCTCATAATAAATGTAGCTAGCGATGGGTGGAATGACAGACTTGATTCGACTGTATAGTCATTTTCTGTTTGCTTGCTGTATCAAGTATCCATGGCTATGTAATAAACTGCCAAACTTAGTGGCTTAAAACAACAGGAATTAGTTTGTCAACAATCTGAAATTCTAGCAAGTTCTTTCAGGGAGCTTGTCTCTGCCCCATGTAGTACCATCTGGGGTGGATCAACAGGGGGTTAAAGATCCACTTTTAAGATGGTTCACTCATGGAGGGACCTGGAGATTATTATGATAAGAGAAACAAGCCAGTTAGAGAAAGACAAATACCATATGATCTCACTTATTGTGGAATCTAATCAACACAATAAACTGATGAATAAAATAGGTCCAGAGACATGGGCATGGAACAGACTGAGGAATCTCAGAGGGAAGGGGGGTAGGGGACGGGAAGAAATTAATCAAAGAACTTGTATGCATATTTGCACTGCCCTTGGACACAGACAATAGGGTGGTGAAGGTCTGCTCAGGGCAGGAACCAGGTGGAGGAGGCCAATGGGGAAAAAGGGAGGAACATCTGTAATACTCTCAACAATAAAGATAAATAAAAATTTTTTTTAAATATGGTTCACTCATATGTTTGGCAAGTTGGTGCTGGGTGTTGGCTTGGCATTCAGCTAGGTCTGTGAATCAGTAGGCTTGGTTCCTTCATATGGGCTTCTCCATGGGCTGCTTGAACTTCCTCATAGTATGGTGGCTCAGTTCTAAGAGCAAGTGTCCCCAGTGAGAACTAAAGAGAAGTTATATTACCATTTATGACCTAGGCTCAGAAGTCAACATAACATTATTTTCACC